AAACATGTTACATGCAGGATATATGTACAATAAACATGTTACATGCAGGATATATATGTACAATAAACATGTTACATGCAGGATATATATGTACAATAAACATGTTACATGCAGGATATATGTACAATAAACATGTTGCATGCAGGATATATGTACAATAAACATGTTACATGCAGGATATATGTACAATAAACATGTTACATGCAGGATATATGTACAATAAACATGTTACATGCAGGATATATATGTACAATAAACATGTTACATGCAGGATATATATGTACAATAAACATGTTACATGCAGGATATATATGTACAATAAACATGTTACATGCAGGATATATATGTACAATAAACATGTTACATGCAGGATATATGTACAATAAACATGTTACATGCAGGATATATGTACAATAAACATGTTACATGCAGGATATATGTACAATAAACATGTTACATGCAGGATATATGTACAATAAACATGTTACATGCAGGATATATGTACAATAAACATGTTACATGCAGGATATATGTACAATAAACATGTTACATGCAGGATATATATGTACAATAAACATGTTACATGCAGGATATATATGTACAATAAACATGTTACATGCAGGATATATATGTACAATAAACATGTTACATGCAGGATATATATGTACAATAAACATGTTACATGCAGGATATATATGTACAATAAACATGTTACATGCAGGATATATATGTACAATAAACATGTTACATGCAGGATATATATGTACAATAAACATGTTACATGCAGGATATATATGTACAATAAACATGTTACATGCAGGATATATATGTACAATAAACATGTTACATGCAGGATATATATGTACAATAAACATGTTACATGCAGGATATATGTACAATAAACATGTTACATGCAGGATATATGTACAATAAAGTGGCAATCAGATATGGTGTCAATAGTAGAAGTGCAGGGTTTTTATTTTCATTATTTTTTTTTATTTTTTTTCAGTCTTATACAGTGACTTAAAGTGACTTATTGTACAGTCTGACTGCGGTGGGGATAAAGGCCCTGCGGTAGGAGCTGGCCCTCCTGACCAGCTTGTTCAGTCCAGGGGCCTCCTGTCCCTCACCTCCTCCACAGAGTCCAGGGGCCTCCTGTCCCTCACCTCCTCCACAGAGTCCAGGGGCCTCCTGTCCCTCACCTCCTCCACAGAGTCCAGGGGCCTCCTGTCCCTCACCTCCTCCACAGAGTCCAGGGGCCTCCTGTCCCTCACCTCCTCCACAGAGTCCAGGGGCCTCCTGTCCCTCACCTCCTCCTGACCAGCTTGTTCAGTCTGTTTCTGTCCCGCTCTGTGCTGCCCGGGGCCCAGCACACGGCAGCGTAGTAAATGGCAGAAGCTACCACAGAGTCATAAAAAGTCCTGAGCAGAGGCCTGCTCACTCCGAAGGACCTCAGCCTCCTCAGAAGGACCTCAGCCTCCTCAGAAGGACCTCAGCCTCCTCAGAAGGACCTCAGCCTCCTCAGAAGGACCTCAGCCTCCTCAGAAGGACCTCAGCCTCCTCAGAAGGACCTCAGCCTCCTCAGAAGGACCTCAGCCTCCTCAAAAGGACCTCAGCCTCCTCAGAAGGACCTCAGCCTCCTCAGAAGGACCTCAGCCTCCTCAGAAGGACCTCAGCCTCCTCAAAAGGACCTCAGCCTCCTCAAAAGGACCTCAGCCTCCTCAGAAGGACCTCAGCCTCCTCAGAAGGACCTCAGCCTCCTCAGAAGGACCTCAGCCTCCTCAGAAGGACCTCAGCCTCCTCAGAAGGACCTCAGCCTCCTCAGAAGGACCTCAGCCTCCTCCTCAGAAGAACCTCAGCCTCCTCAGAAGGACCTCAGCCTCCTCAGAAGGACCTCAGCCTCCTCAGAAGGACCTCAGCCTCCTCAGAAGGACCTCAGCCTCCTCAGAAGGACCTCAGCCTCCTCAGAAGGACCTCAGCCTCCTCAGAAGGACCTCAGCCTCCTCCGAAGGACCTCAGCCTCCTCAGAAGGACCTCAGCCTCTCTCAGAAGGACCTCAGCCTCCTCAGAAGAACCTCAGCCTCCTCAGAAGGACCTCAGCCTCCTCAGAAGGACCTCAGCCTCCTCAGAAGGACCTCAGCCTCCTCAGAAGGACCTCAGCCTCCTCAGAAGGACCTCAGCCTCCTCCGAAGGACCTCAGCCTCCTCAGAAGGACCTGAGCCTCCTCAGAAGGACCTCAGCCTCCTCAGAAGGACCTCAGCCTCCTCAGGAGGACCTCAGCCTCCTCAGAAGGACCTCAGCCTCCTCAGAAGGACCTCAGCCTCCTCAGAAGGACCTCAGCCTCCTCAGAAGGACCTCAGCCTCCTCAGAAGGACCTCAGCCTCCTCAGAAGGAAGAGGCGACTTTGGCCCTTCTTGTGCAGGGCGTTTGTATTATGGGACCAGTCCAGTTTAGTGTTAATGTGAACACCCAGGTACTTGAAGCTGTCCACCAGCTCAATGTCCTCCCCCTGGATGTTCAGCAGCGTGTGGGAAAGTGGTTTTCTCCTGAAGTCGATGATCATCTCCTTGGTCTTACTGGTGTTCAAGCACAAGTGGTTGCGCTCACACCAGTCGACAAAGTCCTTGATAACCGACCGATATTCCAGTTGGTTCCCCTCAGACACACAGCCCACGATGGCGGAGTCGTCGGAGAACTTCTGCAGGTGACAGCTGTGTGTGTCGTGTGTGAAGTCTGAGGTGTAGATGGTGAAGAGAAACGGTGAGAGGACAGTGCCCTGAGGGGCCCCAGTGCTGCAGACGACCACCTCAGACTCACAGCTGCAGCCGCACGTACTGTGGTCGCTCTGAGAGGTAGTTGATGGTCCATGCAGTGAGGTAGTTGATGGTCCATGCAGTGAGGTAGTTGATGGTCCATGCAGTGAGGTAGTTGATGGTCCATGCAGTGAGGTAGTTGATGGTCCATGCAGTGAGGTAGTTGATGGTCCATGCAGTGAGGTAGCTGATGGTCCATGCAGTGAGGTAGTTGATGGTCCATGCAGTGAGGTAGTTGATGGTCCATGCAGTGAGGTAGTCGATGGTCCATGCAGTGAGGTAGTTGATGGTCCATGCAGTGAGGTAGTTGATGGTCCATGCAGTGAGGTAGTTGATGGTCCATGCAGTGAGGTAGTTGATGGTCCATGCAGTGAGGCTACTGTCCACTCCCGCGTCCTCCATCTTCCCCCGCAGCAGTGCCGGCCTGATGGTATTGAAAGCACTGGAGTCGAAGAACATGACCCTCACAGCGCCCCCTGCAGGCTCCAGGTGGGAGAGCGTCCGCTGCAGGAAGTAGATGACGGCGTCCTCTACTCCGATGTTGGGTCTGTAGGCGAACTGCAGCGGGTCCAGGGTGGGGCTGACCACGGAGCGGAGATGGGTGAGGATGAACCGCTCCATGGTCTTCATCAGGTGGGAGGTCAGTGCTCCATGGTCTTCATCAGGTGGGAGGTCAGTGCTCCATGGTCTTCATCAGGTGGGAGGTCAGTGCTCCATGGTCTTCATCAGGAGGTCAGTGCGACTGGTCTTCATCAGGAGGTCAGTGCTCCATGGTCTTCATCAGGTGGGAGGTCAGTGCTCCATGGTCTTCATCAGGAGGTCAGTGCGACTGGTCTTCATCAGGAGGTGGAACCGGGATCACACAGGAGGTCTTCCACAGGAGGTCTTCCACAGGAGGTCTTCCACAGGAGGTCTTCCACAGGAGGTCTTCCACAGGACAGGGACCTCCTCCAGGCTGAGGCTCAGGTTGTACATGTAGCTGAGGACCCCAGAGAGCTGGTCTGCACAGGTCCTCAGCAGCCTGGGACTGATCCCGTCCGGTCCTGCGGATTTCCTCAGCTTCAGGCGCTGGAGCTGACTCCTCACCTGGTCCGGTGTGATGGAGAGGGGGGGGGGCTGGGATGTACTGTCCGAGGTGGGGGCTGGGGATGCGGGGGCAGGAGGGCCCGGGGCAGCCGGAGGCAGTGTCCACTGGGCGGTGTCCACTGGGCTGGGGACGTGTGAAGAGGTGGGGGCGGGAGGGGGGGCAGATGGAGAGGGGGGAGAATCAAACCGGTTGAAGTATTGGTTAAATTCGTCCGCCCGGTGCTGGTCTCCATCTCCGGGGGCTCCTGCAAAAACTTCTTCTAAAGACTATCAGGGTGTCTTTTACTGACGTTGTGTGTACAGATTTCAGTAGTACAAAGCCTTTTTGGTTGTTTTGAGTACCGATATGCGTCCAAAAACCAGAAATACGGACAGCCAGACGACATCGAAAACGCGGCCTGCTCAAGAGGCTACATCCCCAGCCCAGCGTGAGCCTGCTGGACCGCCTTGCACCGAGGGTGCTTGCGTTAGCGCTGCTAGCACAGTCCCGGCTTCGAGTATGGCTTCTGCAGACTTTAAAGCCGAACTTCTGGTTGCTCTCCGTGAAGAGATGGTAGGCATTTTCAAGTCGGAACTACAGATGGCTATGACTGAAAACCTATCTCAAATAAAGTCAGAATTGCAAAGTGTGAAGACGGAGCTGACGGCTAACCTAGCCGCGACAAAGTCTGACGTGGGTGAATTAAGGGGGACTGTGAGTGAGATGGAGGAATCGCTGTCAAACTGTACAGACGACATTGTGTACCTCAAGGGTAAAGTGGAGACCCTTTCTACTAAAGTTCTAGCTCTTGAGAACAAATGTGAAGATCTAGAAGGTAGATCTCGTCGCAATAACATCCGTATAATTGGACTATCTGAGCAAAGTGACACGGTTACCGCCGCATCTACTTCTGATCTGCTTAAAGAAATGTTTAACCTGGAGAAAGCGCCTCTTATTGACCGAGCTCATCGATCCTCAACCCCTAAACCCAAACCCGGAGAGCGACCGCGTCCCATAATAGCACGTTTACATTATTATGCAGACTGTGTTGGCATCCTACAACGTGCTAGAGCCCAGCAACGGATCAAGATTGGGGACTCGACAATCTCCGTCTTCCCGGATCACACAGCCCGGACGGCGAAAGCACGTGCTGCTTTTAACGACATCAGGCGGCAGCTCAGGGACATCCCAGGTATAAGGTATGGTCTGATGTATCCTGCTCTCCTACGGATCACAACGAGTGGAGGGGTCACAAAGGATTTCACATCCCCTGGAGAGGCTGCTGTTTTTGTCAAAACTCTTAAATAGGTAAAGCTTATTTTAAGTGCCACCTGCCTACAAAATGACTTTGAACGTTGCATTATAGAAGTAATATCAATGTAAATTTGACTTTGAGACATAAGTTGCAGTGGCACAAATGTTTATTGTTTTGACAAACAAATATCTTTCTTAGGTTCACACAAGTTGCAATGTTTTTGTTGGATGTACACCCTTTGATTTAATTTAAGTTACACAATTGTTGAGCAGGAGCTCCTGTTGAGTTTGGAGAAGTATGAAGACGACTGTCAGGTCTAATACACGGAATTTACTTACTCTGTTAGTGACTCCTGGTGGAGTCTGCACCGGTATCCTATCGTTTGGGGATGGGGTAGTGGGGGTTTATATCCCTTTTATTTGTTTATTTATTTATTTTATTTTTTTGGGTGTTGGAGGTCCAAATGTGGTTGCAGGTTCTGTTGTGATACGAACTGAACATGGCCAGTACTAAAGCATCAAATGTGAGATTTGTTAGTTGGAATATCAAGGGTTTGAGGAGTGCGGTCAAACGGTCAAAAGTGTTCTCTCACTTGAAGCGTCTAAAACCTGATATTGTTTTTTTACAGGAGACCCACATGCGAAATAACGACCAGGCACGCTTGAGATGCCCCTGGGTTGCAGAGGTTTTTCATTCTAGCTTCAATTCTAAGGCCAGAGGGGTCGCCATTCTGATTAATAAATCAGTCCCATTTACACAGACTAAAATCATCTCGGATAAGGACGGCAGGTATTTGATTATTTTAGGGACTTTACACCAGATTCCTGTTCTACTAGTCAATGTATACGCGCCAAATTTTGATAACCCTAGTTTTTTAAATAATTTGTTTAGGAATTTACCATCACTAAATGAGGTATTTTTTATATTTGGCGGGGACATGAATTGTGTCGTTAATTCACAGCTAGACCGCTCTAAAGCTAGCTTAAATCAGTCTCAAATGGCTAAAACTCTTTGTAGTTTTATGTCCAATAATGGCTACATTGACCCCTGGAGGGTTCGTAATCCTACTGACAGACGATACTCCTTCTATTCACATGTTCACCAGACATTCTCCCGTATTGACTATTTTTTTATTGATGCCAGACTGATGCCCAAGGTGGCAGATACTTCTTATCATCCTATTATTATTTCAGATCATTCGCCTGTGACCTTGGACATTCAGATCTCATCTGAATCTCGTTACCCAACCCATTGGAGATTCAACACATCTCTTTTGTCTGATGACAAATTTCACACATTTATTATAAGTACAATTGAAGACTTTGTATCTCTTAACCAATCCGAATCAGAACCTATTTCTAAGGCGCTCCTGTGGGAATCTTTAAAGGCATACTTACGGGGTCAGATTATTTCTTATTCCGCTCATGTGAAGAAATTGAGACTGTTAACTATTCAAAAATTGTCAGCCGATCTGGAATCAGTGGATCAACAGCTTGCTTCCTCCCCGAATCCTGATTTATTAAAGCAGCGTGTGGTATTGAAAACAGAGTTGGACTTGATCACAACTAATGAAGCGGAGCGGCTACTTTTACATTCTCAGTCCAAATACTACGAATATGGAGACAAATCTGGAAGATTACTAGCTCACCAACTACGTCGACAAGCAGCCTCGCGTTTAATACCTCGTGTTAAAGATGAGTTGGGAATGTTGGTTGAGGAACCGGCCCTTATTAATTCGGTATTTTCATCTTTTTATAAATCCCTGTATAGTTCTGAATCTCCAGTTTTAGAGCTTTATTAAAGGACGTCAGCTTTTTTATAATGTCCGTACCTTATTAGATGTTATCTACTCGAAAGGAAGCGCTACCACTCCAGAAGTTGTCATCTCTATTGACGCAGAAAAGGCGTTCAATAGAGTCGAATGGAGCTACTTGCTTTCGGTTTTAATGAAATTTGGATTTGGTCATGGTTTCATGTCATGGATACGCCTCCTCTATACATCACCCTGTGTCAGTATTACAACTAATAAGGTTCAATCTAGTTATTTCTCCTTGAATCGCGGCTGTAGACAAGGTTGTCCTCTGTCTCCCCTCCTCTTCGCTCTTGCAATAGAGCCTTTGTCCATTTATTTGAGGTCTTTCCCCATTTTTAACGGCATTACACGTTCCCGTGTCGAATTCAAACTTTCTTTATATGCTGACGATCTGCTACTGTATGTCACAAATCCAGTAGGGGCATGTCCCGTTATTCTTTCCTTTTTTCATAGATTCGGTTCGTTTTCGGGATACAAGATTAATGTCTCAAAGAGTGAATGTTATCCGATCAATGCCCTAGCAATGCAAATATCTCAATCTGATATCCCCTTCAAACTGAGTTCTACAGGATTTAAGTATCTGGGAGTTAATGTGGCCAGGTCCTATAAATCGCTTTATTCTGTAAATTTTACTCCCCTATTGACTGAGATTAAGGCTGATTTCCAAAGATGGGGTTCCCTTCCTCTTTCTCTGATCGGTAGAATTAATGTGGTTAAATTGAATGTCCTCCCAAAATTCTTGTTTCTGTTCCAATGCCTACCTATATTTCTATCCAAAGGTTTTTGCAGAAGCATTGATTCGATTATATCTACATTTCTGTGGAATGGTAAGACTCCCAGAGTTAGGCTAAAAGTACTTCAGAATTGCAAATTTGATGGTGGTCTCTCCCTACCAAATTTCTAATTTTATTATTGGGCTACGAACATAACAAAAACTACATTTTGGCTTAGACTGGTTAATATACCTTGGTGTGAGTTGGAAATACATTCATGTCCTTCGTCCTCTTTATTGGCGATACTGTCTGGCGCAGCTTCAGTCAACCCCTCTGGCTTTACTAGTAACCCAGTGGTCACTTCCACATTAAAGATATGGTTTCAGTTTAGGAAACAGTTTAAATTTCTCACTCCCACCACATCAAGTCCACTATTGAGGAATTATGCGTTCAAACCTGCATTTACTGACTCGACTTTCACCTTATGGCATGATAAGGGTCTAAAATGTTTTCAAGATTTTTATAAAGAGGGGGTTTTCTATTCCTTTACAGACCTAGCTAACGAGTTCGGCCTCCCACCATCACATCTTTTTAGGTACTTTCAAATTAGGAACTGTGTAAAAGTTTTATTTCCTAGTTTTCCACAACTTCCACCTGAGCAGACATGGGAGGATCTTTTACAATTAAATCTATCACAAAGATCTTTAATTTCAAAAGTCTATGGTACTATCCAGTCCTACGATGATCATTTAAACTCCGGGACGAAGGAGGCTTGGGAAAAACAGCTGGGTCTGACCTTCGATGCTGATTGGTGGGACTTGGTTTTAGGCCGTATTCACAAAACCTCCATTTGTGCCCGCTTGACCTTAATACAATTCAAAGTAGTGTTCCGACGTCACTATTCGAAAACCCGATTATCACACATTTTCCCAAATACAATTGATGTCTGTGACAGATGTTCTGGTTCACCCTGTAATCTTGCACATATGTTTTTCTCTTGCCCAACTCTAGGAAATATTTGGCAAATTTATTTTGACACTATGTCTAAAGTGCTCCTCAAGGCCATTGATATCTCTCCACATGTAGCTGTTTTTGGTATGCCTCAAGATTACCACCGTTTTTCATCAGTTCAGTTAGAGGTCCTGGCTTTCACTTCTTTGATAGTGAGACGCCATCTTCTTCTTAATTGGAAAGCAACAAATGCCCGATCCAATACACTTTGGACCACGGATGTCATGTCTTTTCTAAAACTAGAAAAAATAAGATATTCTAAACAAGGTAATCTTGTCAAATTTCATAAGAAGTGAAAACCATTTATGCAATTTTTTCAGGCTAACTAGGCCTAATCCCAACACACACCCATTTTGTTTTTTGTTTTTTTTTGCTTGATTTTTGTTTTTTTTGTTTTTTACATTTCTTTTATTATTATTTTCGGACGGAAAATTTTTATACTAGTGCAATACACAGTGAGTTCATTATGCTGAATGTGTATGTGTGCGTGTGTAGGCACACATATACATTTATTTAAATAACATAACAATTACTGTATTTTCTTTTTTCTGCACATACTTTGAATATATCCATTTATATTGGAATAATTTGTATTTCCTTTTATTCTTTTTATTTTTATTTTTGTATATAAAAATTTAAAAGTTGTATACAAATATGTTTGTTATTGTTACCCAAGTGCCTTCACGGTTTTTTTGTATGCATACCAATAAACATATGAAACAGAAATATAAATAATGACATAAATAAACTGCATCCAGAGAAAGTCACATGATCACACACGTACACGCTCTGATTACACTCCCGTCAAACTGACTGCTCTGGTTCTAGTGAAAAACAATCACAGATCAAAGAGAAGAAACATGTTTTTACTGCCTGATCTAATCTAAATCTATACATTCTACAACATTCTTTAATGGTTTCACTTTAGTCCCACATCATTACAAAGTTAAACATCTATTCATGTGGTTTATGTTTATATATTCATTTATTTTTTATATATTTACTCTCCCACTTCTTGTTCGTGTGTAGAGACAGTTTGCAGATATACGGGACATGGATGGATTGGAAAAAGAAAGAAGCAATGATGACACCCTGTGGCCACAGTTTGAATTACATCCTGTACTAGGAATAATTCTCTCTCAGAGACCAGCGAGAGACCAGAGAGACCAGAGAGACCAGAGAGACCAGAGAGACCAGAGAGAGAGACCAGAGAGAGAGACCAGAGAGAGAGATCAGAGAGAGACCAGAGAGACCAGAGAGACCAGAGAGACCAGAGAGAGACCAGAGAGAGAGACCAGAGAGAGAGATCAGAGAGAGACCAGAGAGACCAGAGAGAGACCAGAGAGAGACCAGAGAGAGACCAGAGAGAGACCAGAGAGACCAGAGAGACCAGAGAGACCAGAGAGACCAGAGAGACCAGAGAGAGAGACCAGAGAGAGAGACCAGAGAGAGAGATCAGAGAGAGACCAGAGAGACCAGAGAGACCAGAGAGACCAGAGAGAGACCAGAGAGAGAGACCAGAGAGAGAGATCAGAGAGAGACCAGAGAGACCAGAGAGAGACCAGAGAGAGACCAGAGAGAGACCAGAGAGAGACCAGAGAGACCAGAGAGACCAGAGAGACCAGAGAGACCAGAGAGACCAGAGAGAGACCAGAGAGACCAGAGAGACCAGAGAGAGACCAGAGAGAGAGATCAGAGAGAGACCAGAGAGAGACCAGAGAGAGACCAGAGAGAGACCAGAGAGAGACCAGAGAGACCAGAGAGACCAGAGAGACCAGAGAGACCAGAGAGACCAGAGAGACCAGAGAGACCAGAGAGACCAGAGAGACCAGCGAGAGACCAGCGAGAGACCAGAGAGACCAGAGAGACCAGAGAGAGACCAGAGAGAGACCAGAGAGAGACCAGAGAGACCAGAGGGACCAGAGAGACCAGAGAGAGACCAGAGAGACCAGAGAGACCAGAGAGACCAGCGAGAGACCAGAGAGAGACCAGAGAGACCAGAGAGGACCAGAGAGACCAGAGAGAGACCAGAGAGAGACCAGAGAGAGACCAGAGAGACCAGAGAGAGACCAGAGAGAGACCAGAGAGAGACCAGAGAGAGACCAGAGAGACCAGCGAGAGACCAGAGAGAGACCAGAGAGACCAGAGAGACCAGAGAGACCAGAGAGAGACCAGAGAGAGACCAGAGAGAGACCAGAGAGACCAGAGAGAGACCAGAGAGAGACCAGAGAGAGACCAGAGAGAGACCAGAGAGAGAGACCAGAGAGAGACCAGAGAGAGACCAGAGAGAGACCAGAGAGAGAGACCAGAGAGAGAGACCAGAGAGACCAGAGTTTTACCTAGTTGAGGTTTAAATATGATCCCTCATTTTTAAGTAGGAGGAGCTACAGACTAAATACCATTCTGGTCATTTTCTCGTTGCCTCCCCCAAAAACATAATCACTCTTCCCCCTTCGCTCTCTCTGTGGTCTCTGTGGTCTCCTCTGTGGTCTCTGTGGTCTCTGTGGTCTCTGTGGTCTCCTCTGTGGTCTCTGTGGTCTCTGTGGTCTCCTCTCTGGTCTCTCTGGTCTCTGTGGTCTCTGTGGTCTTCTATGTGGTCTCTGTGGTCTCTGTGGTCTCTCTGGTCTCTGTGGTCTCTGTGGTCTTCTATGTGGTCTCTGTGGTCTCTGTGGTCTCTGTGGTCTCTGTGGTCTCTGTGGTCTTCTATGTGGTCTCTGTGGTCTCTGTGGTCTCTGTGGTCTCTGTGGTCTCTGTGGTCTCTGTGGTCTCTGTGGTCTCTGTGGTCTCCTCTGTGGTCTCTGTGGTCTCTGTGGTCTCTGTGGTCTCCTCTGTGGTCTCTGTGGTCTCTGGGGTCTCCTCTGTGGTCTCTGTGGTCTCTGGGGTCTCCTCTGTGGTCTCCTCTGTGGTCTCTGTGGTCTCTGTGGTCTCCTCTCTGGTCTCTCTGGTCTCTGTGGTCTCTGTGGTCTTCTATGTGGTCTCTGTGGTCTCTGTGGTCTCTCTGGTCTCTGTGGTCTCTGTGGTCTCTGTGGTCTCTGTGGTCTCTGTGGTCTCTGTGGTCTCTGGGGTCTCTGTGGTCTCTGTGGTCTCTCTCTCTGCTCCGTCCCCTGGTTCCGGTCTGGAACACTCACTCTTCACCTCCTTCACCTCCTTCACCTCCTTCACCTCCTTCACCTCCTTCACCTCCTTCACCTCCTTCACCTCCTTCTCCCCCTTCTCCTCCGTCCCTTCTCTACCCTCAGTGCTGTCTTTGCTCTTCGTACTCTGTCCATCTCCTTCATTAGACACCTCCTCGTCACGTCCTCCATCTTGGATTTGCTGGCCTCTGCTGTCGTGGACCTCCTCTTCCCCCTCTGCTTCCTCTCTGTGTAGATCTGCTTCCTCTCTGTGTAGATCTGCTTCCTCTCTGTGTAGATCTGCTTCCTCTCTGTGTAGATCTGCTTCCTCTCTGTGTAGATCTGCTTCCTCTCTGTGTAGATCTGCTTCCTCTCTGTGTAGATCTGCTTCCTCTCTGTGTAGATCTGCTTCCTCTCTGTGTAGATCTGCTTCCTCTCTGTGTAGATCTGCTTCCTCTCTGTGTAGATCTGCTTCCTCCCCCACACCTTCTCCTCTCCCCACATACTCCTGCAGTCCCGGTCCTCTGTGGTGGTCTTCCTGCAGTCCCGGTCCTCTGTGGTGGTCTTCCTGCAGTCCCGGTCCTCCCTGGTGGTCTTCCTGCAGTCCCGGTCCTCCCTGGTGGTCTTCCTGCAGTCCCGGTCCTCCCTGGTGGTCTTCCTGCAGTCCCGGTCCTCCCTGGTGGTCTTCCTGCAGTCCCGGTCCTCTGTGGTGGTCTTCCTGCAGTCCCGGTCCTCCCTGGTGGTCTTCCTGCAGTCCCGGTCCTCCCTGGTGGTCCATGGTGGCCACCTCCCACTCCAGCTGCTGCACCCGCCCCTTCATCTTCCTGTTGCTGGCCTCCAGCTCCACCATGAGCCGAGCTAGTTTGGTCTGAAGTGTTTCCAAGTTCTCCTGGAGTCTGTGGACTCTGGACTCCACCTTTTCAGTTTCCTCTTCCTCTCCGTCTGCGCTCTCCTCCAACATCCCCATCTTGGTGAGGATCTGGCGGCCCTTCTCCTCCAGGTGGCGCATGGCGGCGGGGAACTCGGCCAGAGTGGAGGTGAGGTCTTCTTTGGAGAGGCTGAACAGGTCTGAGTACCCGATGCTGCGGATGTTCGCAGTGCGGCGGTTTCCAGACCTGTTTCCTGAAAACACAATACACACAATTACAATGTATTGTTGTATAGCCCTAGGTCACAACAGAAGTCATCTCAGAGACTTAACAAAACCATTGAAATCACCAACACAGGTCAGAGAATCAACAGTTAAAACACATGAAGAATATAAAGCACACACAGAAGAAAATGTCCATACATGTTGTAGAATGCTAAAGTGTCCTGATCATCACCAATCCTTTCTGTTGGACACTAACTGTCCAACAAGACCCTCCTGCATCCACAAGGAACAACTCTTAAAAAACCCAGTGGGAAAAAGTGAGAAAACAAGAAGTCTCCTTTCAATCTCAGTTTAAACTCCTCCATACAGCCTCAGTCCTGGGTCTACAGCCTCAGTCCTGGGTCTACAGCCTCAGTCCTGGGTCTACAGCCTCAGTCCTGGGTCTACAGCCTCAGTCCTGGGTCTACAGCCTCAGTCCTGGGTCTACAGCCTCAGTCCTGGGTCTAAAACCTCAGTCCTGGGTCTACAGCCTCAGTCCTGGGTCTAAAACCTCAGTCCTGGGTCTACAACCTCAGCCCTGGGTCTATAGCCTCAGTCCTGGGTCTACAGCCTCAGTCCTGGGTCTACAGCCTCAGTCCTGGGTCCAGAGCTTCAGTCCTGGGTCCACAGCCTCAGTCCTGGGTCTACAGCCTCAGTCCTGGGTCTACAGCCTCAGTCCTGGGTCTACAGCCTCAGTCCTGGGTCTACAGCCTCAGTCCTGGGTCTACAGCCTCAGTCCTGGGTCTACAGCCTCAGTCCTGGGTCTACGGTCTACAGCCTCAGTCCTGGGTCTACAGCCTCAGTCCTGGGTCTACAGCCTCAGTCCTGGGTCTACAGCCTCAGTCCTGGATCTACAGCCTCAGTCCTGGTCTACAGCCTCAGTCCTGGGTCTACAGCCTCAGTCCTGGGTCTACAGCCTCAGTCCTGGGTCTACAGCCTCAGTCCTGGGTCTACAGCCTCAGTCCTGGGTCTACAGCCTCAGTCCTGGGTCTACAGCCTCAGTCCTGGGTCTCCAGCCTCAGTCCTGGGTCTACAGCCTCAGTCCTGGGTCTACAGCCTCAGTCCTGGGTCTACAGCCTCAGTCCTGGGTCTACAGCCTCAGTCCTGGGTCTACAGCCTCAGTCCTGGGTCTACAGCCTCAGTCCTGGTCTACAGCCTCAGTCCTGGGTCTACAGCCTCTGTCCTGGGTCTACAGCCTCAGTCCTGGGTCTACAGCCTCAGTCCTGGGTCTACAGCCTCAGTCCTGGGTCTACAGCCTCAGTCCTGGGTCTACAGCCTCAGTCCTGGGTCTACAGTCTCAGTCCTGGGTCTACAGCCTCAGTCCTGGGTCTACAGTCTCAGTCCTGGGTCTACAGCCTCAGTCCTGGGTCTACAGCCTCAGTCCTGGGTCTACAGCCTCAGTCCTGGGTCTACAGCCTCAGTCCTGGGTCTACAGCCTCAGTCCTGGGTCTACAGCCTCAGTCCTGGGTCTACAGCCTAAGTCCTGGGTCTACAGCCTCAGTCCTGGGTCTACAGCCTCAGTCCTGGGTCTACAGCCTCAGTCCTGGGTCTCCAGCCTCAGTCCTGGGTCTACAGCCTCAGTCCTGGGTCTACAGCCTCAGTCCTGGGTCTACAGCCTCAGTCCTGGGTCTACAGCCTCAGTCCTGGGTCTACAGCCTCAGTCCTGGGTCTACAGCCTCAGTCCTGGGTCTACAGCCTCAGTCCTGGGTCTACAGCCTCAGACCTGGGTCTACGGTCTACAGCCTCAGTCCTGGGTCTACAGCCTCAGTCCTGGGTCTACAGCCTCAGTCCTGGGTCTACAGCCTCAGTCCTGGTCTACAGCCTCAGTCCTGGGTCTACAGCCTCAGTCCTGGGTCTACAGCCTCAGTCCTGGGTCTACAGCCTCAGTCCTGGGTCTACAGCCTCAGTCCTGGGTCTACAGCCTCAGTCCTGGGTCTACAGCCTCAGTCCTGGGTCTACAGCCTCAGTCCTGGGTCTACAGCCTCAGTCCTGGGTCTACAGCCTCAGTCCTGGGTCTACAGCCTCAGTCCTGGGTCTACAGCCTCAGTCCTGGGTCTACAGCCTCAGTCCTGGGTCTACAGCCTCAGTCCTGGGTCTACAGCCTCAGTCCTGGGTCTACAGCCTCAGTCCTGGGTCTACAGCCTCAGTCCTGGGTCTCCAGCCTCAGTCCTGGGTCTACAGCCTCAGTCCTGGGTCTACAGCCTCAGTCCTGGGTCTACAGCCTCAGTCCTGGGTCTACAGCCTCAGTCCTGAGTCTACAGCCTCAGTCCTGGGTCTACAGCCTCAGTCCTGGGTCTACAGCCTCAGTCCTGGGTCTACAGCCTCAGTCCTGGGTCTACAGCCTCAGTCCTGGGTCTACAGCCTCAGTCCTGGGTCTACAGCCTCAGTCCTGGTCTACCTTTGATGTTGAGGATGCTGATTTCTCCAAAGAAGTTGCCTTCGCTCAGAACAGCGAACTCCGTGACTCCGTCGTCTGCGACCACGGCCAGTTTTCCTTCTTTGATGATGTACATCTCATGTCCCACGTCTCCTTTTCTGCAAACGTACTCTCCAGGATTGAACACCTGAACGCACAGAAGACACGGCAAGGTTATTTGTATAGCACAGTCCATACACAAGGTGAAAAAGGCTCTGGAGAGCAGCTTCAGTGACAGACTAATACACCCTCGCTGTGTGAAGGAGAGGTTCCGTAGGTCTCTCCTTCCTGCTGCTGTCAGACTGTACAACGAGAACTGCTGAGTCTGTAAATAAGTAAATACTGCTCTATATGTACAGTATATAACTCCTGTCCTATATGTACAGTATATAACTCCTGCTCTATATGTACAGTATATAACTCTGTCCTATATGTACAGTATATAACTCTGTCCTATATGTACAGTATATAACTCTGTCCTATATGTACAGTATATAACTCCTGTCCTATATGTACAGTATATAACTCTGTCCTATATGTACAGTATATAACTCCTGTCCTATATGTACAGTATATAACTCCTGTCCTATATGTACAGTATATAACTCCTGCTCTATATGTACAGTATATAACTCTGTCCTATATGTACAGTATATAACTCTGTCCTATATGTACAGTATATAACTCCTGTCCTATATGTACAGTATATAACTCTGTCCTATATGTACAGTATATAACTCCTGTCCTATATGTACAGTATATAACTCCTGTCCTATATGTACAGTATATAACTCCTGTCCTATATGTACAGTATATAACTCCTGCTCTATATGTACAGTATATAACTCTGTCCTATATGTACAGTATATAACTCCTGTCCTATATGTACAGTATATAACTCTGTCCTATATGTACAGTATATAACTCTGTCCTATATGTACAGTATATAACTCCTGTCCTATATGTACAGTATATAACTCTGTCCTATATGTACAGTATATAACTCTGTCCTATATGTACAGTATATAACTCTGTCCTATATGTACAGTATATAACTCTGTCCTATATGTACAGTATATAACTCTGTCCTATATGTACAGTATATAACTCTGTCCTATATGTACAGTATATAACTCCTGTCTATATGTACAGTATATAACTCTGTCCTATATGTACAGTATATAACTCTGTCCTATATGTACAGTATATAACTCCTGTCCTATATGTACAGTATATAACTCCTGTCCTATATGTACAGTATATAACTCCTGTCCTATATGTACAGTATATAACTCCTGTCCTATATGTACAGTATATAACTCCTGTCCTATATGTACAGTATATAACTCCTGTCCTATATGTACAGTATATAACTCCTGTCCTATATGTACAGTATATAACTCTGTCCTATATGTACAGTATATAACTCTGTCCTATATGTACAGTATATAACTCTGTCCTATATGTACAGTATATAACTCTGTCCTATATGTACAGTATATAACTCTGTCCTATATGTACAGTATATAACTCCTGTCTATATGTACAGTATATAACTCTGTCCTATATGTACAGTATATAACTCTGTCCTATATGTACAGTATATAACTCCTGTCCTATATGTACAGTATATAACTCCTGTCCTATATGTACAGTATATAACTCCTGCTCTATATGTACAGTATATAACTCCTGCTCTATATGTACAGTATATAACTCCTGTCCTATATGTACAGTATATAACTCCTGCTCTATATGTACAGTATATAACTCTGTCCTATATGTACAGTATATAACTCTGTCCTATATGTACAGTATATAACTCTGTCCTATATGTACAGTATATAACTCTGTCCTATATGTACAGTATATAACTCTGTCCTATATGTACAGTATATAACTCTGTCCTATATGTACAGTATATAACTCTGTCCTATATGTACAGTATATAACTCTGTCCTATATGTACAGTATATAACTCTGTCCTATATGTACAGTATATAACTCTGTCCTATATGTACAGTATATAACTCTGTCCTATATGTACAGTATATAACTCCTGTCTATATGTACAGTATATAACTCTGTCCTATATGTACAGTATATAACTCCTGTCCTATATGTACAGTATATAACTCCTGTCCTATATGTACAGTATATAACTCTGTCCTATATGTACAGTATATAACTCTGTCCTATATGTACAGTATATAACTCCTGTCCTATATGTACAGTATATAACTCTGTCCTATATGTACAGTATATAACTCTGTCCTATATGTACAGTATATAACTCCTGTCCTATATGTACAGTATATAACTCTGTCCTATATGTACAGTATATAACTCTGTCCTATATGTACAGTATATAACTCTGTCCTATATGTACAGTATATAACTCCTGTCTATATGTACAGTATATAACTCCTGTCCTATATGTACAGTATATAACTCCTGTCCTATATGTACAGTATATAACTCCTGTCCTATATGTACAGTATATAACTCCTGTCCTATATGTACAGTATATAACTCCTGTCTATATGTACAGTATATAACTCCTGTCTATATGTACAGTATATAACTCCTGTCCTATATGTACAGTATATAACTCCTGTCCTATATGTACAGTATATAACTCTGTCCTATATGTACAGTATATAACTCCTGTCCTATATGTACAGTATATAACTCCTGTCCTATATGTACAGTATATAACTCCTGCTCTATATGTACAGTATATAACTCCTGTCTATATGTACAGTATATAACTCTGTCTATATGTACAGTATATAACTCTGTCCTATATGTACAGTATATAACTCTGTCCTATATGTACAGTATATAACTCTGTCTATATGTACAGTATATAACTCTGTCTATATGTACAGTATATAACTCCTGTCCTATATGTACAGTATATAACTCCTGTCCTATATGTACAGTATATAACTCCTGTCTATATGTACAGTATATAACTCCTGCTCTATATGTACAGTATATAACTCTGTCCTATATGTACAGTATATAACTCCTGTCCTATATGTACAGTATATAACTCTGTCCTATATGTACAGTATATAACTCTGTCCTATATGTACAGTATATAACTCTGTCCTATATGTACAGTATATAACTCTGTCCTATATGTACAGTATATAACTCTGTCCTATATGTACAGTATATAACTCTGTCCTATATGTACAGTATATAACTCCTGTCTATATGTACAGTATATAACTCCTGTCTATATGTACAGTATATAACTCCTGTCTATATGTACAGTATATAACTCTGTCCTATATGTACAGTATATAACTCTGTCCTATATGTACAGTATATAACTCCTGTCCTATATGTACAGTATATAACTCCTGTCCTATATGTACAGTATATAACTCCTGTCCTATATGTACAGTATATAACTCCTGTCCTATATGTACAGTATATAACTCCTGTCCTATATGTACAGTATATAACTCCTGTCCTATATGTACAGTATATAACTCCTGTCCTATATGTACAGTATATAACTCTGTCCTATATGTACAGTATATAACTCTGTCCTATATGTACAGTATATAACTCTGTCCTATATGTACAGTATATAACTCCTGTCCTATATGTACAGTATATAACTCCTGTCTATATGTACAGTATATAACTCCTGTCTATATGTACAGTATATAACTCCTGTCCTATATGTACAGTATATAACTCTGTCCTATATGTACAGTATATAACTCTGTCCTATATGTACAGTATATAACTCCTGTCTATATGTACAGTATATAACTCCTGTCCTATATGTACAGTATATAACTCTGTCCTATATGTACAGTATATAACTCTGTCCTATATGTACAGTATATAACTCTGTCCTATATGTACAGTATATAACTCTGTCCTATATGTACAGTATATAACTCTGTCCTATATGTACAGTATATAACTCTGTCCTATATGTACAGTATATAACTCTGTCCTATATGTACAGTATATAACTCTGTCCTATATGTACAGTATATAACTCTGTCCTATATGTACAGTATATAACTCCTGTCCTATATGTACAGTATATAACTCCTGTCCCTATATGTACAGTATATAACTCCTGTCCTATATGTACAGTATATAACTCCTGTCCTATATGTACAGTATATAACTCCTGTCCTATATGTACAGTATATAACTCCTGTCCTATATGTACAGTATATAACTCCTGTCCTATATGTACAGTATATAACTCCTGTCCTATATGTACAGTATATAACTCCTGTCCTATATGTACAGTATATAACTCCTGTCCTATATGTACAGTATATAACTCCTGTCCTATATGTACAGTATATAACTCTGTCCTATATGTACAGTATATAACTCTGTCCTATATGTACAGTATATAACTCCTGTCCTATATGTACAGTATATAACTCCTGTCCTATATGTACAGTATATAACTCCTGTCTATATGTACAGTATATAACTCCTGTCCTATATGTACAGTATATAACTCCTGTCCTATATGTACAGTATATAACTCTGTCCTATATGTACAGTATATAACTCTGTCCTATATGTACAGTATGTAACTCCTGTCCTATATGTACAGTATATAACTCCTGTCCTATATGTACAGTATATAACTCCTGTCCTATATGTACAGTATATAACTCCTGTCCTATATGTACAGTATATAACTCCTGTCCTATATGTACAGTATATAACTCCTGTCCTATATGTACAGTATATAACTCCTGTCTATATGTACAGTATATAACTCCTGTCTATATGTACAGTATATAACTCTGTCCTATATGTACAGTATATAACTCTGTCCTATATGTACAGTATATAACTCCTGTCCTATATGTACAGTATATAACTCCTGTCCTATATGTACAGTATATAACTCTGTCCTATATGTACAGTATATAACTCTGTCCTATATGTACAGTATATAACTCTGTCCTATATGTACAGTATATAACTCCTGTCCTATATGTACAGTATATAACTCTGTCCTATATGTACAGTATATAACTCTGTCCTATATGTACAGTATATAACTCCTGTCCTATATGTACAGTATATAACTCTGTCCTATATGTACAGTATATAACTCTGTCCTATATGTACAGTATATAACTCCTGTCCTATATGTACAGTATATAACTCCTGTCCTATATGTACAGTATATAACTCCTGTCCTATATGTACAGTATATAACTCTGTCCTATATGTACAGTATATAACTCCTGTCCTATATGTACAGTATATAACTCCTGTCCTATATGTACAGTATATAACTCTGTCCTATATGTACTCTGTCCTATATGTACAGTATATAACTCCCTGCAGTATATAACTATATGTACAGTATATAAACTCTGTCTATATGTACAGTAACTCTGTCCTATATGTACAGTATATAACTCCTGTATATAACTCTGTCCTATATGTGTACAGTATATAACTCCTGTCCTATATGTACAGTATATAACTCTGTCCTATATGTACAGTATATAACTCCTGTCCTATATGTACAGTATATAACTCCTGTCTATATGTACAGTATATAACTCTGTCCTATATGTACAGTATATAAACTACCTGTATATGTACAGTATATAACTCTGTCCTATATGTACAGTATATAACTCTCCTGTCCTATATAACTCCTGTACAGTATATAACTCCTGTCTATATGATTTAGTATACAGTATATAACTCCTGTCCTCTATATGTCCTACAGTATATAACTCCTGTCTATATGTACAGTATATAACTCCTGTCCTATATGTACAGTATATAACTGTCTCTATATGTACAGTATATAACTCCTGTCCAGTATATGTACAGTATATAACTCTGTCCTATATGTACTATATGTACAGTATATAACTCCTGTCCTATATGTACAGTATATAACTCCTGTCCTATATATGTACAGTATATAACTCCTGTACTATATGTACAGTATATAACTCCTGTCTATATGTACAGTATATAACTCCTGTCTATATGTACAGTATATAACTCCTGTCCTATATGTACAGTATATAACTCCTGTCTATATGTACAGTATATAACTCCTGTCCTATATGTACAGTATATAACTCCTGTCCTATATGTACAGTATATAACTCCTGTCCTATATGTACAGTATATAACTCCTGTCCTATATGTACAGTATATAACTCCTGTCCTATATGTACAGTATATAACTCCTGTCCTATATGTACAGTATATAACTCCTGTCCTATATGTACAGTATATAACTCCTGTCTATATGTACAGTATATAACTCCTGTCCTATATGTACAGTATATAACTCCTGTCCTATATGTACAGTATATAACTCCTGTCTATATGTACAGTATATAACTCCTGTCCTATATGTACAGTATATAACTCCTGTCCTATATGTACAGTATATAACTCCTGTCCTATATGTACAGTATATAACTCCTGTCCTATATGTACAGTATATAACTCCTGTCCTATATGTACAGTATATAACTCCTGTCCTATATGTACAGTATATAACTCCTGTCCTATATGTACAGTATATAACTCCTGTCCTATATGTACAGTATATAACTCCTGTCCTATATGTACAGTATATAACTCCTGTCCTATATGTACAGTATATAACTCCTGTCCTATATGTACAGTATATAACTCCTGTCCTATATGTACAGTATATAACTCCTGTCCTATATGTACAGTATATAACTCCTGTCCTATATGTACAGTATATAACTCCTGTCTATATGTACAGTATATAACTCCTGTCCTATATGTACAGTATATAACTCCTGTCTATATGTACAGTATATAACTCCTGTCCTATATGTACAGTATATAACTCCTGTCTATATGTACAGTATATAACTCCTGTCCTATATGTACAGTATATAACTCCTGTCCTATATGTACAGTCCCACACGTCTCCCACACGTCACCCACACGTCTCCCGTCACACGTCTCCCACACGTCTCCCACACGTCTCCCACACGTCACCCACACGTCACCCACACGTCTCCCACACGTCTCCCACACGTCACCCACACGTCACCCACACGTCACCCACACGTCTCCCACACGTCCCCACACGTCTCCCACACGTCACCCACACGTCTCCCACACGTCTCCCACACGTCTCCCACACGTCTCCCACACGTCACCCACACGTCTCCCACACGTCCCCACACGTCTCCCACACGTCACCCACACGTCTCCCACACGTCACCCACACGTCTCCCACACTCACCCACACGTCTCCCACACGTCACCCACACGTCTCCCACACGTCACCCACACGTCTCACACGTCCCCACCGTCTCCACGTCCCCACACGTCTCCCACACGTCTCCCACACGTCTCACCACACGTCACCCACACGTCTCCCACACGTCTCCCACACCTCACACGTCCAGTCCCACACGTCACCCACACGTCTCCCACAGCTCACCCACACGTCTCCCACACGTCACCCACCCACACGTCTCCCACACGTCACCACAGTCACCTCACACACGTCTCCCACACACCTCTCCCCACACGTCTCCTCCCACACGTCTCTCCACACGTCACCACACGTCTCCCACACGTCTCCCACACGTCACCCCACACACACCGTCTCCCACACCTCACCCACACGTCTCCCACACGTCCCCCACACGTCACCCACACGTCACCAACGTCTCCCACACGTCACCCACACGTCTCCCACACACTCACCCACACGTCTCCCACACGTCACCCACACGTCACCCACACACTCTCCCACACCTCACCCACACGTCTCCCACACGTCACCCACACGTCTCCCACACCTCACCCACACGTCACCCACACGTCACCCACACGTCACCCACACGTCTCCCACACCTCACCCACACGTCTCCCACACGTCACCCACACACTCTCCCACACCTCACCCACACGTCCCCACACGTCTCCCACCTCACCCACACCTCACCCACACGTCTCCCACACGTCACCACACGTCTCCCACACGACTCCCACACGTCACCCACACGTCTCCCACACCTCACCCACACGTCTCCCACACGTCTCCCACACCTCACCCACACGTCACCCACACGTCACCCACACGTCACCCACACGTCTCCCACACCTCACCCACACGTCTCCCACACGTCTCCCACACCTCACCACACGTCACCCACACGTCTCCCACACCTCACCCACACCTCTCCCACACGACTCCCACACGTCACCCACACGTCTCCCACACCTCACCCACACGTCTCCCACACGTCTCCCACACCTCACCCACACGTCACCCACACGTCACCCACACGTCACCCACATGTCACCCACACCTCACCCACACGTCTCCCACACGTCTCCCACACCTCACCCACACGTCACCCACACATCTCCCACACGTCACCCACACGTCAACCACACGTCTCCCAAACCTCACCCACAGGTCTCCCACACCTCACCCACACCTCTCCCACACGACTTCCACACGTCACCCACACGTCACCCACACCTCTCCCACACGTCTCCCACACGTCACCCACACGTCACCCACACGTCTCCCACACGTCTCCCACACGTCTCCCACACGTCTCCCACACGTCTCCCACACCTCACCCACACCTCACCCACACGTCTCCCCCACACCTCTCCCACACGTCTCCCACACCTCACCCACACGTCTCCCCCACACGTCTCCCACAGGTCTCCCACACGTCTCCCACACGTCTCCCACACGTCACCCACACGTCTCCCACACGTCTCCCACACGTCTCCCACACCTCACCCACACGTCTCTTACACGTCACCCACACGTCTCCCACACGTCACCCACACGTCAACCACACGTCTCCCAAACCTCACCCACAGGTCTCCCACACCTCACCCACACCTCTCCCACACGACTTCCACACGTCACCCACACGTCACCCACACCTCTCCCACACGTCTCCCACACGTCACCCACACGTCACCCACACGTCTCCCACACGTCTCCCACACGTCTCCCACACGTCTCCCACACGTCTCCCACACCTCACCCACACCTCACCCACACGTCTCCCCCACACCTCTCCCACACGTCTCCCACAGGTCTCCCACACGTCTCCCACACGTCTCCCACACGTCACCCACACGTCTCCCACACGTCTCCCACACGTCTCCCACACCTCACCCACACCTCTCCCACACGTCACCCACACGTCTCCTACACGTCACCCACACGTCTCCTACACGTCACCCACACGTCTCCCACACGTCACCCACACGTCACCAACACACCTCACCCACACGTCACCCACACGTCACCCACACGTCTCCCACACGTCTCCCACACGTCTCCCACACGTCTCCCACACGTCACCCACACGTCTCCTACACGTCACCCACACCTCACCCACACGTCTCCCACACCTCACCCACACCTCTCCCACACGACTCCCACACGTCACCCACACGTCTCCCACACGTCACCCACACGTCTCCCACACGACTCCCACACGTCACCCACACGTCACCCACACCTCTCCCACACGACTCCCACACGTCACCCACACGTCTCCCACACGTCACCCACACGTCTCCCACAGGTCTCCCACACGTCTCCCACACGTCTCCCACACGTCTCCCACACGTCACCCACACGTCTCCTACACGTCACCCACACACCTCACCCACACCTCACCCACACGTCTCCCACACGTCTCCCACACGTCTCCCACACGTCACCCACACGTCTCCCACATGTCTCCCACACGTCACCCACACCTCACCCACACGTCTCCCACACGTCTCCCACACGTCACCCACACCTCACCCACACCTCACCCACACGTCTCCCACACGTCTCCCACACGTCTCCCCCACCTCACCCACACCTCTCCCACACGTCTCCCCCACCTCACCCACACCTCACCCACACGTCTCCCACACGTCACCCACACCTCACCCACACGTCTCCCCCACCTCACCCACACCTCTCCCACACGTCTCCCACACGTCACCCACACCTCACCCACACCTCACCCACACCTCACCCACACGTCTCCCCCACCTCACCCACACCTCACCCACACGTCTCCCACACGTCTCCCACACGTCTCCCACACGTCTCCCACACGTCTCCCACACCTCACCCACACGTCTCCCACACGTCACCCACACGTCACCCACACGTCTCCCACACGTCTCCCACACGTCTCCCACACGTCACCCACACGTCACCCACACGTCACCCACACACCTCACCCACATACCTCACCCACACGTCTCCCACACGTCTCCCACACGTGAGGTAGAGACAGAGGCAGAGGCAGAGACAGAGACAGAGACAGAGACAGAGACAGAGACAGAGAGAGAGGCAGAGGCAGAGGCAGAGACAGAGACAGAGACAGAGACAGAGACAGAGGCAGAGCCAGAGGCAGAGAGAGAGGCAGAGAGAGAGGCAGAGAGAGAGACAGAGAGAGAGGCAGAGACAGAGACAGAGACAGAGACAGAGGCAGAGCCAGAGGCAGAGAGAGAGGCAGAGGCAGAGACAGAGACAGAGGCAGAGGCAGAGACAGAGGCAGAGACAGAGACAGAGGCAGAGGCAGAGGCAGTGGCAGAGACAGAGACAGAGGCAGAGGCAGACAGAGACAGAGACAGAGACAGAGGCAGAGACAGAGACAGAGACAGAGGCAGAGGCAGAGACAGAGACAGAGACAGAGGCAGAGGCAGAGACAGAGACAGAGGCAGAGGCAGTGGCAGAGACAGAGACAGAGGCAGAGGCAGACAGAGACAGAGACAGAGACAGAGGCAGAGACAGAGACAGAGACAGAGGCAGAGGCAGAGACAGAGACAGAGACAGAGGCAGAGGCAGAGACAGAGACAGAGGCAGAGACAGAGACAGAGACAGAGACAGAGGCAGAGAGAGAGGCAGAGAGAGAGAGGCAGAGACAGAGAGAGAGGCAGAGGCAGAGGCAGAGGCAGAGACAGAGACAGAGACAGAGGCAGAGGCAGAGACAGAGACAGAGGCAGAGGCAGAGACAGAGACAGAGGCAGAGACAGAGGCAGAGGCAGACAGAGACAGAGACAGAGGCAGAGGCAGAGGCAGAGAGACAGAGACAGAGGCAGAGGCAGAGGCAGAGACAGAGGCAGAGGCAGAGGCAGAGGCAGAGACAGAGGCAGAGGCAGAGGCAGAGACAGAGGCAGAGGCAGAGGCAGAGACAGAGACAGAGACAGAGGCAGAGGCAGAGGCAGAGGCAGAGGCAGAGACAGAGGCAGGGGCAGAGGCAGAGGCAGAGGCAGAGGCAGAGGCAGAGGCAGAGGCAGAGGCAGAGACAGAGGCAGAGGCAGAGGCAGAGGCAGAGGCAGAGGCAGAGACAGAGACAGAGACAGAGACAGAGACAGAGACAGAGGCAGAGACAGAGACAGAGGCAGAGGCAGAGGCAGAGACAGAGACAGAGGCAGAGGCAGAGGCAGAGGCAGAGACAGAGACAGACAGAGGCAGAGACAGAGACAGAGGCAGAGGCAGAGACACAGACACAGAGGCAGAGGCAGAGACAGAGAGACAGAGGCAGAGACAGAGGCAGATGCAGAGACAGAGGCAGATGCAGAGACAGAGACAGAGACACAGAGACAGAGACAGAGGCAGAGGCAAATGCAGAGACAGAGACAGAGGCAGATGCAGAGGCAGATGCAGAGGCAGAGGCAGATGCAGAGACAGAGACAGAGGCAGAGGCAAATGCAGAGACAGAGACAGAGGCAGATGCAGAGACAGAGGCAGATGCAGAGACAGAAGCAGATGCAGAGGCAGAGACAGAGACAGAGACACAGAGACAGAGACAGAGGCAGAGGCAAATGCAGAGACAGAGACAGAGGCAGATGCAGAGGCAGATGCAGAGGCAGAGGCAGATGCAGAGACAGAGACAGAGACAGAGGCAGAGACTCAGAAGATTCTACACCATTATCTCTCTGAGATCCAGGACATCTCGTTACGCTAACAGTTTTTATCCACAGGCTGTTATCAGTGTGAACAGAGCACTTTAATGATTTGCGCTTGTTTTGAACTGTTTTAGTCGATCGATTTCACAGTGACATTTGTTTACTGTTTTATTTGTTTTATTTTTGTCTTTTAATGTTGTTTTATGTCTGTATTTGTCTGTGCACACTGGAGACTTTTGCTAATGTATTCCAATGTGGTTTTTTTACTGCAAATGGCAAATAAACTGAATCTGAATCTGAATATCTGACCCCAAAGTGCTGTCACACAAACACACTTTATTACACAACAGTTACACATTCGCAGACGCACAGAGCATCAAAGACAGACCGGACTGAGGCCAAACCTGCTCTCCTCTCTCTTCTACTCTCTCCTCTCCTCTCCTCTCCTACTCTCTCTTCTCTCTTCCTCTCTCCTCTCCTAAGTTGATTAGTTAACAGCATTGCCATCTCACCAAATTGTGCTTCAGTGGCGTCAGGCCAAAGATAAAACCAAACATTTTGAACTTACTTGGGTTCAATTACATAAGTTCCCAAATGAAATGAAAAATATATGTCCACACTTTTCTATAAATGACTGAGAGCAAAGTGCCGGAGCTTTATGGATAACCTTTTGTAAACGGCTCAACTTTAAAGCCATTGATGTTTCCATACGTCCAAAAGGACTAAATGTGTTGAACCTTTTCCCAAAGCAGCAGTAGAGCTGTGTTTGTGTAGCTTCTCATTCCTACATCTTTATCGTTCTGGTTTGTTGTGTACACTACAGTTCCAGATACTACAGTGCAATGGAAACACACCCAGTGTGAAGCTCTGGTGAAAATGTGGCTTTACGACGTCACAAAAGTAACAAAAGCTACATTAGCAGGTTTTGATTTGGTGAGAATGACATAATAAAGTGGTATATTTGTGCTTTGAGTTGCTGACCTAACAGGAGACACATTAAGCCATTTCATAATCCACTACAGTCAAACTGAAAAGCAGCCGAGCACATAATGATAAGTTAAGACTTATCTTGTCCAACAGGACGAATCTAAACCAAAACATGTTATCTTTGGCATATTTGTAATATAGAGCCGTGTGAGTCACTATTGGACTCTTTAGGCAGAAAGCAGATTGGCCAAGTTGTCATACTTACAACACAGAACATGACATATTCAGGGTTAGGTTAACCCTATAACCCTGTGTGGTTTGAGAGTTAGGTAACCCTGCTTTAGCTAAATACAGAATACCCAGACTATTACAGTTTAACCCAGACTAATACAGTGTAACCCAGACTAATACAGTTTAACCCAGACTATTACAGTTTAACCCAGACTAATACAGTTTAACCCAGACTAATGAGGTTTAACCCAGACTAATACAGTTTAACCCAGACTATTACAGTTTAACCCAGACTAATACAGTGTAACCCAGACTAATACAGTTTAACCCAGACTATTACAGTTTAACCCAGACTAATACAGTTTAACCCAGACTAATGAGGTTTAACCCAGACTAATACAGTTTAACCCAGACTATTACAGTTTAACCCAGACTAATACAGTGTAACCCAGACTAATACAGTTTAACCCAGACTAATACAGTTTAACCCAGACTATTACAGTTTAACCCAGACTAATGAGGTTTAACCCAGACTAATGAGGTTTAACCCAGACTATTACAGTTTAACCCAGACTATTACAGTTTAACCCAGACTATTACAGTTTAACCCAGACTATTACAGTTTAACCCAGACTGATACAGTTTAACCCAGACTAATACAGTTTAACCCAGACTAATACAGTTTAACCCAGACTAATACAGTTTAACCCAGACTGATACAGTTTAACCCAGACTAATACAGTTTAACCCAGACTAATACAGTTTAACCCAGACTGATACAGTTTAACCCAGACTGATACAGTTTAACCCAGACTAATACAGTTTAACCCAGACTAATACAGTGTAACCCAGACTGATACAGTTTAACCCAGACTGATACAGTTTAACCCAGACTGATACAGTTTAACCCAGACTAATACAGTTTAACCCAGACTAATACAGTGTAACCCAGACTGATACAGTTTAACCCAGACTATTACAGTTTAACCCAGACTAATACAGTTTAACCCAGACTGATACAGTGTAACCCAGACTGATACAGTTTAACCCAGACTAATACAGTGTAACCCAGACTATTACAGTTTAACCCAGACTAATACAGTTTAACCCAGACTATTACAGTGTAACCCAGACTGATACAGTTTAACCCAGACTAATACAGTTTAACCCAGACTAATACAGTTTAACCCAGACTGATACAGTTTAACCCAGACTAATACAGTTTAACCCAGACTAATACAGTTTAACCCAGACTAATACAGTTTAACCCAGACTATCAGGCCTTACAGCTGACAGGTGACATCCATTCGCCTTCACTGCGGATCTAAAATGACCTGTTTATTATCACGTCACTTAATCATTCTGAGTAATTGATCGGTCTAAATGAGGGTCGGCAAAACGATTAAACTACGGTTAAAAAGAAGAAACGATAGATTTTCCCAGTCAGAAGTCACTGCTTCTGCCTTGGTTAGAGGTCAGAGGTCACTGCTTCTGCCTTGGTTAGAGGTCAGAAGTCACTGCTTCTGCCTTGGTTAGAGGTCAGAGGTCACTGCTTCTGCCTTGGTTAGAGGTCAGAGGTCACTGCTTCTGCCTTGGTTAGAGACTGTCCAGGAGTATTGCACAAACACATCACAACATTGCACATTAACAGCAGAATATGAGGTATTTAACCCGGGTTTATTAAAGACATTAGAGAAGGCTGCGACAGGTTAAGAATCAGTGCAATCCATGGAGATAGCAAGGACTAATTAGCTCTGATCTTACAAATGTCACCATTTCACCAAGACCATGACGTTATAACACATGTCAGTTAACCATGTGAGTTAACCATGTGAGTTAACCATGTGAGTTAACCATGTGAGTTAACCATGTGAGTTAACCATGTGAGTTAACCATGTGAGTTAACCATGTGAGTTAACCATGTGAGTTAACCATGTGAGTTAACCATGTGAGTTAACCATGTGAGTTAACCATGTGAGTTAACCATGTGAGTTAACCATGTGAGTTAACCATGTGAGTTAACCATGTCAGTTAGCCATGTGAGTTAACCATGTGAGTTAACCATGTGAGTTAACCATGTGAGTTAACCATGTGAGTTAACCATGTGAGTTAACCATGTGAGTTAACCATGTCAGTTAGCCATGTGAGTTAACCATGTGAGTTAACCATGTGAGTTAACCATGTGAGTTAACCATGTGAGTTAACCATGTCAG